TTCCTGCAAATTTCAAGATTCCATTGTTTTTTCTGCTGAGTAGTACTCTGTTGTGTAAATGTGCCACATTTTCTCTATCCATTCTTTGGTTGAGGGGTATCTAGGCTGCTTCCAGTTTCTGGCTATTACAAATAGTGCTGCTATGAACATCATTGAACAGATGTCCTTGTTGTATGAATGTGCTTCTTTTGGGTATATGCCTAAGAGTGGAATTGCTGGATCTTGTGTGAAATGGATTCCCATTTTCTTGAGGAGTCACCATACTGATTTCCACAGTGGCTGTACAAGTTGGCACTCCCACCAGCAGTGGAGGAGTGTTCCCCTTTCTCCACATCCTCTCCAGCATAAACTGTCATTGGTGTTTTTTATTTTGGCCATTCTGACAGGAGTAAGATGGTATCTCAGAGTTGTTTTGACTTGCATTTCCCTATGGCTAAGGATGTTGAACACTTTCTTATGCGTCTTTCAGCCATTTTAGATTCCTATATTGAGAGCTGTCTATTTAGTTCCCTACCCCACTTTTAATTGGATTGTTTGGTGTTTTGGAGACTAGCTTCTTGAGTTCAAAGCAGGGATGGTTAAGAGAATCTATCTGAAAGGTGGCATGTGAGCTGAGACCTGACATAGATACTTTTAGAGTGGAGAAGGACAGAAAGACAGCACTGTAGAGGCCTGTGATGGGGAGAGTGTAGCCTGTGGGCCCAGCAGCTACAATTGGAGCAGAGGGAGCTGAGGCAGGAACATGGCATGGGCTGGAGAGTGCAGCGAGGGCCCCTACACAAAGAATCCTCCATGGCACAATTAGCCTTAACATTGTTTTCTCCTCTGTGGGACACTTAACAAGGGCCCATGACATCTGGTTTAAGGGTTTAAGTCCCTCACTGTGTCTCCCACTGACCCTCCTCTTAGGGAATCCATCAAGGAGGCTACTGTAGCTGTGCAGGTGGGAGATGAAGACAACTTGGGATGGGGCAGACAAAGAGGCTGCAAAGAAGGAGAGGTACTCACTGTGTGTGAATACCTAAGGGTATGGCTGACAGGATATGCAGACAGAGGTGGGTAGGGAAGGAAGGGACTCCTAGGTTCCCTGGCTTGAAAAATCATCTCTACCACAGAAAGAAAAACATCAATAATTCAACATGAGGTTATTGGATGTCAAGTTACAGGTGGAAAATTACACCAAAGATATGCTGATGTTGACTTGAGTCTCCCAGAAGGCCGGTAAAGAAATGCTGATAAGTGGACTGTGGAGGTGTGCATTTATAATTATAGCACTCAGAAGATAGATGCAGGAAAATCAGGAGTTCAAATCCCGCCTTGGCT